TGCTATGCCAGATTTTATTAGGCAAGTCAATATTTTCGCATTGAAATTTACTATTAATCAATTTCAGAGACAAATCACCACATTAAAAATGCTTAAACCAGTTTTAGGAAGTCTGATCTGTTACTGTTTCTTTTCCTTTCAGTTACTGAATTCTGTGAGCAGTTTCAACAAATTTGAGGTTCAATTTAAAATAATGCCTCAATATTGCCAGAATCTCAATACCTGTGCTTGCCATTATAACACCTGAAAAAAAGCCATGGGTGAACGGTATTGATATATAATGATATTATAATTATTTTCTTTTTTAAAAATATGATTCAGGCAGATACACACTTAGGCTATCATGTGTTTTTCAATACATGACTGATGAGACAGATTTTTTTTTCTAGGTTGCCATTTCTTTCTGCAGTAGACCAGTTACCATCAAAGGCTATAGAACCTGGTCTGTCCTGCTATTTACCCATAACTGGGGAGAGAAGAAGAAGAGTCATACCTTTCCCAAGGATATTACCATGTAAGTGAATGTAATGGATTCAACCGGAATTTGAACTCGGCTCTCCAATTTCTCAATCCAAGCCACTATCCATTACTCTACCAAAGGTCTATAAAAATTAAAATTCTTTTGATACACATTAATACTATTGTATAATAATATTGTGGAGTCATAGTCTTTAGATGTGATGAAAATCTTTTGAAGATCTCTACAATAAACAGAAGTTCTATAGATGCATCTAAACATAATGGGCTGTATTAACATCATTTTTTTAATGCTGTGTCTCTCCAAGATATTGGCAAGCATAGGTTCACATAGATTCATTTTCTTTATTATCTATAAATTGCTCAAACATCATAGGAATGATAGCTGAGTGATTTCCCATTACCTTATTCATGGTTTTGCATTCAAAATCATCCTTCTCCTAGGCTGATTGCCACTCAAAGCTAGAGAACTCATCTACCCTGTGATTTAACTCAGATGGATTTATTTCACAAGGACATTTGGGTAAAAGAGAATGCAACAGTGTAGGCCAGAATTTGAACTCCACTTTCCATGCTGATTTCTGTAACCTTATTTGCATATCCACATTTCTTTTTTATATGAACATATACTAAATTAAGCAAATACTTCAAACATCTATATATCTAGGGCAATCACTCTCAAGAGATTTTATCAAGAACTATGCATAATAATAGTTAAGACGTCAGCAAATGGGCCTAGAAGAATTAAAATACTCTCTACTATATTGTTATTACTGTGACAGATGTTCAAACGAGTTTCATTCCTTAGTGCTGCCAGCTATGACCTTCACAGCTAGGATCTACCTTACTGTGTTTCTGGTAACAAACAATCCCCATTCTGTGTCTGTCTATATTTCTGAGATGAGGTATTATGTACACTATTTACATCATTTGGACTATTATTCTCATCTTTGTCATCATATTTATTACAACGTTTTGACTGTTGTACACTCCGGCCTTCTTCAGGTGGTTGGAATGTCGAACTGAACCCTTTATTTTGCTCACTGGGGTAGACTGTTCTAGTTCCATATGCCATGTTTCATGGATGTCAATTATCAATTATCTCCTGTTAATTCCCCTTTGAAAGTTCTCCACTGCCTTAACCGGGTATTGAACTCACACTCTTTGGGTCATGGCACAGTGGATAAAGGTGTTAGTTAGTGGATAAAAGTGTTAGTTAGATCCAGTGACAGGATCCGAAGAGTGTGAGTTCAATACCCAGTTAAGGCAGTGGAGAACTTGAAGAGGGGGATTAACAGGAGATAACTGATAACTGACATCTATTAAACGTGGAACTAGAACAGTCTACACCAGTGAGTGAAATAAAGGGTTCAGTTCAACATTCCAACCACCTGAAAAAGGCCAGAGCATACAATGGCCAAAATGTAATAAATATGGCGACAAAGATGAGGACAATAGTCCAAATAATGTAAATAATCACTATTCCCTTTGTATTCCTTTCATACACTCAGATAGCTTCTTTTTCAGAACTGTTACTTTGTGGAACAAACTCCCAAGAGAATGTTTCCCTGACAATTACAATCTTATCATCTTTAAGTTCAGAGTCAACCAATATTTATCACACATGTCCTCATAATATTCTCTTACATCCCTCTCCCCACTACCTTACAATATCACTCAATTTCCTGTCCTTTGTATAAATTTTGTCTTTTTGTTATTTTCTCCTAGACCCTGTTCCACCATCCATTTACTTAAGCTCATCCTGTATGTTATGTGTTGTTTTCCTCTATCAGATTTTCCATGCCCACTTTCCTCATTATGTGGCTAGAAATTTTAACTATATCTTCCCAATGCTAAATATAAGTTATCTTTTTGATTCCTTTTTGTTTCCATTTTCTCTAAAATCCTGTTGTTTATCACATAATAGGTCCGTGGTATCCTTAGCATCTTTCTGTAGAATCACATTTCTGTTGCTTCAAGTTTATTCTTTGTCTTTGAGGAAATTGTTCACATTCACTGCCATATGGGAGGACAGATATCATGTAACAGTTCAGTACACTTTTCTTCATTTCTAGCAAAGCTTGTTCTGTTTCTTGTTCTGCTTAGCTTTTGGAATGCATCTTTGGCTATACCAATGTGTCTCCAGATTTCAGTATTGCTGTTTCCGTCCTCTTATAGAACACTTCCCAGGTAGTTAAATTTGTGTACTTGTTTGATTTTAGTATCCTCGATTTGTAATTTGCATTTTGGGCTCATCCATTTGCTGACAACCAGACATTCAGTCTTCTTGTAATTTATATTTAGTCCTTTCTTCTCACTCTCTTTCACTACCTTCTGTAGGAGTTTTTGTAGTTTTCTTTCTGTGTCTGCTATCAACACTGAGTCCTCTACATATATTATGTTTTTAAGATTATTGCTGCCAATGATGAATCACAAAAGGACATCTAATTCTTTCTGAATTGCTTTGCTGCATAGGTTGAATCATTTCGGTGAGGACACACCCTTGTCTCCCACATATACTGTTCAGAAAAACTTCTCACGATGACAATGGTATTTTCATCTAGCTAATGTCTTACTATTATGAAGGAATAATTTCTACCACACCTATATATATATATATATATATATATATATATATATATATAAAAAGACATTTTTATGTTTATACATTCTTTTTATAGATTAAATATTTATGTCAATGCTCTGTTTTTTATAATAAACAATATTAATAACATTTACTGGCCTGAAGCCACAGAGGATCGTTCAATTAGCAAGGTCAATTTTACTGCCTTTAAACTTCAATCTTCCATAAATCTCATATGTACATTCATATCTGCTCAAATCGGTTAAGGCACGTCAGGCTAAATGATGGTTCCATATAGGATACAGGTTTGATTACTGTTGGAGGACGAATATTTTCTATGAAAATTTCTTGGACATTCAGACCGGTAAATGTTATTAATACTGTTTATTATAAAAAACAGAGCATTTACTTAAATATTTGTATGTATAAAAAGAATGTATAAACATAAAAATGTCTTAAAATAATTGTCGGACTTTGTCCATTATCATAATATATATATATATATATATATATATATATATAAAGTGAACATAGAAGTCAACAGAGGCGACAGTCTGTTTCATGCTATATGCAATCGTCAGGCCACATATGCATATAGCATGAAACAGACTGTCGCCTCTAAGTGTTGACTTCTATGTTCACTTTATATTTACACACGCTCTCTCTGATATTGAGCACTTTATCCCATAAATATAGCACACCTTAAGACTATATTTCTTTTATATATATATATATATATATATATATATAATGATTCATGGATTCATTTTCTATGGCTTATGAATCCGTTATTTAAAACCAGAAAGTATTTTTTGGATAGTACAAATTATTTTTAGATAATAATGGTTTTAATAATACTAGTCTTACTAATTAATCTATAGCCGAGGGAGATGAGGTGAATTCATATCTTTTCAAAGGGTACTTGTGTATAAGTGAATTTAATGAACCCAACTGGAATTGGAACTCAGCTCTCCAATTAACAATTTCAAGCCATTATCCATTACATTAGCCATCTATCCAATCTTACAGCACCTGCTATTCCCAAGCAACACCTATCTAGGTACTGACCAGACTCAGCATTGCTTAACTTCAGTGATTGTATGGGAACCATAAACCTATATATTTATACACTCTCTCCATATATATGTGTATGTATGAATATTTCTGCTGGATTCCATTCAGAGATTTATGACAATGTTTGTATGTATATAAACACATATTTATATTCATTTTTGTGTGTGGATATAATCTAGTTTTTATTTCTTATTGCCTTCCACATGTTGTTAGATTTTATCATCCATATTGTATCCAAGGTCATGGAAACATTCAATAAATTCTCTGGTAGGGGAAAATGTTGGTCAGGGGTGGGGACCAGTAGGCATAATTGCCTTGCTGGCTGGGGTAAGAGTTATATAAGCATTCTATCAAACATGGTAGCTTATTTATTGCATGTTAAACCAAACAAACCAAAAACCAACAAGTAATTAAAAGAAAATTAGACTGTGCATGAAAAAAATACAAGCTTGTTTAAAGAAATGTCTGGAGCTAAAGAAACTATTTCTTTGAAGGGAAACATCCCCTTTAATATTGGGGTTGTAAATGTGTAGGTCTGCTCAGTCTTAAGTTCTTATAAAAAAATAAACAGTCAATTAATAATCTTTCTATCCAGAATTTCTTTTTAGTCACAGAGGTTGAGCTGAAGAGATTATTGCTACCATGATATGTCATGGACTTCACTTTTACCATACAACTGACATACACTCAGGTTATACAAGGGAGCACAGAAAAGTTCTCAGCCTGACTCCATTCCCAAAATTTAAATCAATGACTTCTTTTATGTTCAGTGTCCCTTCAAGACATGGACTATTATAGCTTCCTTCAACTTCCTATTCTTTCTAGTCCTAAGCCATATTTGTCGTCTTGCTATCTGGCTTACATGCTGAAACATTGGTTTCCATACAATCACTGAAGTTAAGCAACTTCAAGCCTGGTTAGTACCTAGATTGGTGACCACTTGAGAATACCAGGTGCTGTAAATTTGGACATGCAGGTGGTGTAATGGATAATGGTTCAGAATAAGAGAGCTGAATTCCAATTCTCATTGGGTTTATTATATTAACACACAAATACACTTGGGAAAGGTATGAATCCATGTCTTCTCCCACCAGCTATGGGTTAATTAATAAGAATTGCATCGCAAATCCATTATCTCAAAAAAAAAAAAAATTTCTTAAAATCTAAAAATATTTTCTGGCTTTAAATAACCTGCAAAGGGTTGATAAACCATAGAAAATTAATCAATCAAGGCTTTACTATCCTTCCAAGTCCTTGTTCTAAAATTCATTTACAAAAGCTATGTTATTCAGTTTTACCTTCTGTTCCTCTTGCCTTGAATATTCCCTGTGAATGTCAAATTCTTCAAGGCCTATTTTCTCAGTATATTTCCTAGAAATTTCAACTGTTTCTGATTCTCCATACATGTGTACATTTTGTTTCTATTTTCATTAACATTTCATCATTGTGCATTTGCTGTGTATATTCTCAGCATCCTTCCATAGAACTTCATCTCGATTGCTTTAAGTCCCTTCTTCATCTGGGAGGAAATTGTCCAACATTTACTGCCATATAGGAAGACTGACATTACATTTAATACTTTGTTTAACTTTTGGAAGACATTATTCACTATTCCAATGCTCAGGTTTTTGTTTCATATTTTCCACCAAAACTTTCTTTTCTTTTGGCATCACTAATTCATATATTGCATCCTGGTTCTCCACAACTTCCTATCTTTTGTTGCTCTAAGCAATATTTGTACATTTACTATGATTTCCAATACCTCTTCTGTCATTTATTTATACAAGTTTGTTAAAAAGTTTACTCATTGTTGCCTTTCTAACATTCAATATATCATACCAGTGTAAATTTCTTCAAGCCTTCTTTCCTCATTATGTATTTTAGAAATTTAAACACTCTTTCTGATTTTAACTAGAAGCACCCTTTTTATTACCATTTCCCTTAAAACTTCCTCGTTGCTTAAATATTCCATCCACGGTATTCTCAGCATCCTTCTGTAGAATACATCTCTATTGCTTCAAGCCTGTTCTTCATCTGTGATGAAATTGTCCATTCACCGCTATATAGGATGCTTGATATTTCATAGTAGTTCTTTTCTTTACTTTCTAACAATATTTTTCTATTAATACTTTGCTTAACTTTTTGAAGGGATTCTTTCCCTATTTCAATATGCCTTCAGATTCCTGACCAGAAATAATCTTGTCATTTAATATTGATAAAAGAATAGAGTAATGATGTGTGTGCAGGTAGTATAATGGTTATCAGTATGGAAAGCAGGATTGACTTCAAATTCTAGCAGAGGCCAATACACAAATAATCTTGGAAAAGAACAAATACATCTCTACTCTCCCCTGCCAGAGGTTAATATTGGGGCAGACCAGGCTCTCTGCTTTTGGTTGGCAACCATTATTTAAGCAAGGTAGTATTCATATGCACAAACCCAGTGGAAATAAAACTACAATAATTGAACAGTTAGCTAAGCAAGATATTCCTAAACCTGCATAGAGAAACAAGAAAAGGTTCAGTTAGAAATTCCCTATGGGATAACTGGATCGACATACATCTGAAGGATACCAGTGAGTACAACAAACAAAATGTTGTGATCATAACAATAAAGATGAGGATATTTTTCTGGTTGCAAATAATATTTACTAAGTTTGTCATAAGGTTAGACAGGGGTAAATCATTCAACAGGAGAGGTTCTGTCTGGTTGAAAAATCAGTATTCAAGATGCTAGTTTTTACCTGGGCTCAAACACCAACTTGAAATACCTGTCAGAACGATGTTTCTATTTAAGCCACAGAAAAGTCTTTGTTAAGCCCAGATATATCTGGCAAAAAGCCACAAATGATGGCGACAGTAAGAATCAAACTCTTTCTGTAATAGTAATTGTCTTAGATATTCCATGCCAAGATATATTTTATTCGTTCTATTTTTGCACAACATTGCTACCTTCATTTTCTCTTCTATTCTTTCTATCACTTCTATTCCTGCCTCATTTTCCCTCTAAGTTATACTTACATACTTCTTTCTTTATTACATTCAGAACCTTTGAGACAGCTTCATGAACCCATCCTCCTTTAATTTGGCATCTTTCTGGGTGATAAACTGGTCCAAATGGTTTATACAGACTTCCAGAGAATTAATTGATTCATTCATTTTCTATGGCTTATCAACCCTTTGCAGGTTATTTAAAGCCAGAAAATAATTTTACATTGTAAGAATTTTCTTAGGAGATAATAATGATTTAGTGATACAAGTCTTAATAATTAACCCATAGGTGGAGGGAGAAGTTGGTGGATTCATACCTTTAAGTGAATATAACAAACCTATATGAAAATGAAATAAAATTGATAAATAAAATAATAATAAGAAATAATAAAATAAGAAATACATTTTCCCATATTGCTAAGAGTATAGGAGCTGGAAATATGATTACCACCACCTACTTGGTTTTGTTAAACACCATTAGATGGGATTATTGAAGTTCTTAAAAAGGCAAACATTTCCTGTTTCAGGTTCTTTCTCCTTTTTGCTCAAAGATATAGAATCATGTGGAAATTATGTTCCCACTGGGGAATGTTAGTTTTCCAAGTCTACTAACAATGGAACTTTCTTTACCCTTTCCAACACATGACACTTACACATGTCTTCCAAAAACCTCCACCTATGAAGTAAGTCAAATTTTCTCTTTAGTTATTCTAACTCAGCACAAGGTTGACTTGAGTGTGACAATTGTAAGGATTCTTATACTTACTTACTCTAACTCCTGAACCAAGAAAAAGAAAATGGACATCCATAAACATGTTTAAACATTCCTTTGATTGTTTCAACTCTGCACAAGGCTGACCATTAATACAATGTTTATACTTACTTACTCTAACTCCTGGACCAAAAGTAAAATAGACATACCCATGATAATTAAGAACTTTGTTTCACTACAGTTATTATAAAAAGAATAAACATTCTGTGGTAGAAACCAAAGTTTTTGTATGCTTCTTATTCTTAATTGTTTATTTTTAATTAGCACTTCAATTTGTTCATAATCAATGACTGCCACACTGACATAATGTTCTCAGTGTTCTTGATCAAAATTTCTACTACTAAACCTACCTAACCACTTGTAAAGAGAAATTGCAGCTATGACACCTTATCCATAAATGGTACATACTTTTTTGCTGTTTATACAGCTTTTTTTTTTCCTTTCTGGAAATAAAAGTGCATCATATGATGAAATGCTTATGTTTTGGCCTTGTTAGGACCAGAAATAATGACACAAGAGAGGAACTGAGTTAAATATATTAACAGAAACAGTAATACAAACATATATAAACGAGAGTGTTACAGTAAGAATGTTTGGTCTGACTGTCAGAGTTGACTGCTGAAAACTTCCCTCTCCAAAAGGCAGTACCTACTCTTATTTATAGGTGGGGGAAGGGCACCATGGCATGGTGTAATGGTTAGCAAGCTTGTCTTGCTAGATCAATTATGACTGAAAAGTGAGTTCAATCCTCACTAGGTGCTCCGTACTTTCAGCCTTGTGTCACATCTATGCTTAGAAAATTGCTTTATAGCATAGAGAGTCCATGTGTATGTGGGTAAATTACTATAACAGCTTATAAAAAAACATTTAGAATTCACCATCCATATATGAATCAAATAGAATGGTGTGTTGAAATGTTATCTTTCAGAATATATATTGTTGTGGGGATGAACACACCTCCCCAGAAGAGGACTTGGACCCATCCAAATACATAGAGACTGATGTTGAGAATCATCAGGAGAGAGAGAGAGAGAGAGATTTAGCTTATCTGCTTACTATTTCAACAAGACAACGTTTATTCCAAGTGACATACTATTTCTTGATTGTGTTATCTTTATTCAATGGAATGAAGACAATGTATATATATTTCATAAATTTCAGTTACATGTGAAACAGAATCATGTTCAAACATCACCTATTAAAAAAGGCTAGAAATTTTTGTTCCAATCTAATAGTTTACAGTTTTTCATCTTTTTTCATTTTAAAGTTTGTCCATTTTTTTTCACATTTCATTTTTCACATTTTTTTTCACATTTCACATGACACTGCTACCTTGATTTTTTATCTTCCATTCTATCAACTCTCTTTCACTTTTTTCTCTCTGCTTTTTACTTACCCACTTTCTTTCTTTCTTTTTATTCACCTTTTTTTCTACATTGTAATTTTTCTTTCCTACATTTACTTTCTTTCTTTGCATTTCATTTCCTATCCCATTATAAATCCTTCATTTTCTTTTTATTGCTTTCTTTAACCTTTTTTTCCTTAATTTCTCTTTATTTGACAATTTTCCTCCCCCTCCCCCAACTCTCTGACAGCTAATGCTGATTTGTCTTTTTTTTCGTCTGTTTACTAAACCCTCTGACCCAATGTCCTCATTAAGAAAGGAATGTTAAATTAAGAGAAGCTGTCAGAGAATTTTGTTCCTAATGAATTTAATGAAAATCTCCAGGAATGAATTTTCCCAGCAGCAAACAAGGAAAGTAATTAAAAAAAAAAAGACATATTAAAAAATTCAACACCATAAGTTAAATTTTGTGTTGAAATCTCAGTCATGAATTTGAATGCTGTATCCTGATGTATATTCCAAGGTTTGATTAAAAAGCAAAAACAAAACAAAAAAAAAACAATATTTTTTTTATCAACTTGTTTCACCTGAAGAAAATTTTAAAACATAAATTAACTGTTGTGAACATGTCATAGCAGTTTTAAAAGCATTAGAGACATTTCTGGGAATCCATTTTCACATTTCTACAAGCACTTCCAGAACACTGAAAGTCAAACACAACAGTCCATTGTAAATTTATATTTTTTATTCCTCGGCTCCAAATGGTGTATTTCTCAACAAAGTCAGTATAGTATTTTTATTCCATTTTATATTATTCAGTCAGTTATGTGCCATGTGTGATACATGCTTAGGC